CTCAGCACAGTCAGTCAGGCAGGAAACAAAAGGAATGAATTCTTCCTTCTGCCTTGTGTTCTGTCTAGGCCCTCGGTAGATTAAATGATGCCACCACATTGTCCAGGACCATTGGTTTCACTGAGTTCAAAAGCTTATCTCATCCTGAAATGCCCTCACAGACACACCCAGAAATAATGTGTAACCTGGGCACCCTATGGCTAGTCAGCTGACACATAAAATTAACCCTCACAGTCTCTTTCGAGTTCTTACAATTGCTTCTTCAGGGACATAGAGTATGATTAACTATAAATGGAATTTTGTTGGAGGCCTTCACAGTTACTCTAACCCAATCCAGCTACATCAGATCTGGATGGTTTATCTCTCTTTCTGGAAGAAAATTATTCAGCTTCTCCCAACCATGATAATTTATTTATTTATTATATCTTTACTATATAAAGACTTGAAGCAGCCTCAAAAAATACATTTTCAAACAGAGCGATAAATATTTGTTAAACAGGGAGAGGAGTTGGTCTAAACGGGGAAATTGGGTTAGAAAAACATAAAATTGAATGACTTTAGCATACATAGAATATATATCATACATTCCTGTTTTGTTGCTAATAGAAGACCCAGAATTTTGACCCTCAATTCCCTAGCAATGAAAACAAAGTCATAAACAAGAGCACGTACATAACCCCCAGAATGTGGAAAACAGAAAATTCTATTTATTCAGAATTAAAACTGCTGTTTTGGGCTCTGATAACCATGCTAATTACCTGTCAAGGGGAGTGAGATCTCCAGAGAATAACATGCCAGTATCTTTCTCATCTCCTTGTCCAAGACAAGCACATGGCCCCACCAAAGTTCAAAGGGCCAGGAAATGAAATCTTATCATGTGTCCTTCAAGTTCGAAAAGTGGCAGTGGTACTAATGATGCCCACACTATGGGTCTTGCAAAATCAAGAACAGTAGTAGGTACTCACAACCATCCCCATTAGAGATACCTAATATTTTTGAAAGGGCTGGGTTTTTTACTGTTTATCAATCTAAGTTAATAATATGCTGTCAAAGGATTATTTAATAAAATTCCATTAGGAATAATAACATTATTTTTAAAAAATTATATTAATGGAAGCTATTAAGGGGAACATGCCATCAGTACAAATAGTATTGATAGCCACATTATTACAGATTAGTGTGTGTGTGTGATGTGATGTATTTTTTTGCCATTAAAAATGATTTCAATAGAGCCAGAACTAGTTCCTAGGAATACTGCCTAGGTCGGTAGCACCTTATCAGTCCAGTAGACATGTACGGTATCAAAATCCAAAGAAGGTAATGTTTCTTAGGAAAAAGTTTTGCAAAGAACTGTTAGAAAGCTTCCTATATAATGATTATACTTTTTGTTTGAAAAACTGACATTTATCTTGATGTGACATTTCCTTAATCCCTCAATAACTTTTAGTTGAAATACCAACATACAGAAAAAAAAAATCATTGTGTGAATGCAATACTTTCATTTATAAAGTGTACTACTGTTAGAAGGCAGAGCTTCAGTCCCAAACAGTCTACAGACCATTACAAAGCCAATTGTTTAAAAAGCATCACCTTTGGTGCTGTTGGCTTTATTCTTATCTGGAACTTTCTTATGCACCTGGATCCTAGAGAGTAATCAAAGATGACAGGCCAATGATCTGTCACTACACTTGTTTCTTAATTTCCATGTCCGAGAAATTCAAGGGAGGAATCAGAAGGCACTGACCCAGGCATGAGGTAGGAAAGTCAGGAACAAGGATTTTTTTTAACACCAAATAACAGTGTAACTGGAAGACCGAAGAGTTCTTTCTGCATGAAAAGTGACCTGTTAGCTGTTTACTCACTGCATCTCCACAATACTCTTCTAACATTAAAATGGAGGCATATCAAATGAATATTTGCATCCACTTATTACAACAAAATAATAATACAAATAATTAGTTGAATGGTTGCTTTCTAAAAAAAGGATTGCATGCTTAATTCACCTGTGAAGACATCTAGTCCCGGACTTTTGTTTTGCTGGGAGTTTTTTTGATTACTGCTTCAATTTCATTGCTAGTAATCGGCGTGTTTAGATTTTCTATTTCTTCCCAGTTCAAACTTAGAAGGTTGTATGCTTCGAGAAATTAATCCATTTCTTCTAGGTTATCCAACTTGTTGGCATATAATTGCTTGTATTGTTAATTTTTTTTTTTTTTTTTTGCATTTTGGTCACTTTTTTCTTTATATGTATACACTTGCTAATGTATATATAATTAATTATTTATTTGGGCTCTCTTTTTTTCTTGATGAGTTTGGCTAAAGGTATACTAATTTTATCTTTTTAAAGAACCAGCACTTCGTTTCATTGATCTTTTCTATTGTTTTTTTAAAATCTCTATTTCAAATATTTCCATGCCAATCTTTATTATTTCCTTCTGTTTACTTTGGATTTTGTTTGTTCTTCTTTTTCTAGCTTCTTTAGGTGTAAAGTTAGATAGTTTATCTGGAATTTTTATTGTTTTTTAAGATGGGTCTATATAGTTACTAACTTCCCTCTTAGAAATGCTTTTGCTGTATCCCAGAAATTTTGGAAAGTTGTGTTTTCATTTTCATTTGTCTCAAGGTAGTTTTTGGTTTCCTGTCTGATTTCCTCTTTGATCCACTGGTTGTTTAGTAGTATGTTCATTAGTCTCTACACGTTTGTGATTTTTCTAGTTTTCTTCTTGTAGTTGATTTCTAGTTTCAGGCCATGTTGTTGGAAAGATGCTTGATATGATTTCAATCATCTTGAATTTATTAAGGCTTGTTCTGTGGTGTGACAAGTGATCTATCTATTTGGGAGAATTTTCCATGTATACTTGAACTAAAATTTTACCAAGATTTTGGATAAAATATTTTATATATGTCTAATGTGACATTTAAGGCCATTATTTTATTACTAATTTTCTGTCTGTATAATTTATCCTTTGTAGGTTTTTGGTTCATGGTTACTTTGAGATTTATGTATGACATTCTATATCTACAGCAGTCCATTTTGAGCTGATATGCATTTATTTTCAAATATATTCTGAAAGAACTATATTTTTACTCCTCCCTCCACACTTTATGTTTTTGATGTCCTATTTTAGATCTTTTTGTTTTGTGTATCACTTTATATCAAAATTCAAAAAAAAAAAAAAAAGCCTATGCCCTCCATTGGTGATCAAACACCTTCATAATGGAATTTAAAAAGAAACGTCAGCTCAAGTGAAGAGCTGAAAACTCAGGTGACTTAATGTTTCTTTTTCAGTTCCAGAAATAATATTTTAAATATCAGTGTCCAGGTCTATACCTTGACATAAACTTGTCCAGTTCCCTTTCAAGAGGTAGTCTTGGCTGCAATTACACTATCTAACGACTAAAGTGAAAAATTGGATTTCTGACTGACCCTGGCAGGTTAGCCCTTTATGCTCCAGTGATGCAAGAGACTAGCTAACAAGACCTCACCATGCGTGGCTTTAAATGTTATTGATGACCCTAAAGCAATTCTACTCTTTTGAAAATCCTTTTGTGCACCTACTCTTGTTATCACCATAGGAGTGACTTACATGCTGTGGGCTCATGAGTCATACAGAGAGTCTCCTGTCATTTGTCTCATCTTTGCGACATTACAATTTCAGTAAATATTCCTCTGATCTCCATGTTAGCAGAGAGGGCATAAGCAGTGTCGGATTTGTGATTGGCATGTGTGCATTATCCTGGAATACCTTCTTTGATCTTTATCCCCTTTCATGTAAAGTCACTTTAGTTTACATATTTTAGGCACCTTCTAGGACCTCTTATTACTAGTGTTGTCTCTTTCCAGATCTTTTCAATCCACCTTTTCACTTGAAGTTATGAAAGTCTTTGTTCTTTAGTGCAAATAGATGTGTTTTCCATAGACCAGTGATTCTCAATCATTGCTTTGAAAAACAAAAATTTAGGTTTTACGCTCAGAAATTCCAATTCGGGATGTCTCTGTGATAAACTCTAAGAATAACTGATTGCAAAGCTTCCAGAACGGATTCTCATTTGCATCCAGAATTTATCAGAGTTATAGGAAAAAATGTCTTGGAAGTTTGTTTTCAGAATCTTCTCCATTCGTTTTTATACAAAGACCAAAAGACAGTACGCAAGGCCTCTTGGTGACCTGCCCTGAGGAAGGCGATAGTCCTGATTTAGAAGATTTAGAAACAATAGTTTATCTCCAGACAACTTGCAATTTTTCCTTCTCAGTGGACACCATTTCCAGAAATCCCAAAGTAAGATAAAAGTTTGCTAAACAGGTTATCGACTGAGAACTCTTGTCCGTTCTACCCATCTCCTTTTTCTCTGTTCCTCACCAAATAAAACAATGCACAGAGAATGTCTAAAACTAACAAATTCCCAAGTAAGCAATTGAGAATCAAAATTAAGAGGCAGTGTGAAATTTGTATAAAAATAGTCCCCATCCTTCCATCTACAAACAAATCCTCTTTTTTCCTACTCATTCTGTTAACATAAGATGGAAAAGGGGTAGGGAGAAAGGTTTCAGAGATATACTTATTTATAAATCCTCATTTAAGAACATCTACATACCAGCATTGCCAATTCAACATTTAATGAGTTCTACTCTGAGGCATTCTGCTAAGTACCAAAGCTAAGGAAATCAATGAGATATATATCTAAGCATGGGATTACCCAGAACCCTAAGCAGTGGGGAGGGCAAAACCCAGTAATGTCAGGGACAACTCCAAATATAAAATTCGTTGAGCACTAGTCATTTGCGAATTTGATCATCGGTCCGATTACTTCGTTCTAAGTCAAATGCAGTGCAATGAGAGAGCACTGGATGGATGTCCATGGCTTGGATCCTAGCTCCCCATCCGCCACCGATTCATCCCAGGTTTCTCATCTACAGAGTCCCCTCCTGTCCTATGTTCCCAGGCTACTGCGGTCCCACTTCCTGTTTCTGATGCTTTCCCCTGACTTCTCTTTTGCAGGTTCTGTCCATGGGCATGATGACTGAATACTACCACTACTTTTTCACGACCTTGGTAAGCACGTCCAGCAGAAACACATTCCGTGTGACAGGAAATATCTCTAGTTATTTTAAAGTCATTCTCACCAGTGTCGAAGGCAGGATATTGTCATGGAAATTTGACTTTTTTTTTTTTTCCCCTAAAAATCCTCTAAATTGAGAAATGCTGAGAAGGAGATTTCTTTTTTTCTTTTAACTAGCATCAGTGCATGTGTATCCAGAAAGGAATTTAAATGAAACTTCCATTGCATAGAAACTGGCAATGTGCAAACAATTCATAAAGAAGCATTATCTACCTTTTCTATATACATTAGAAGACACACTGAAGTGTATTGTGGCATTCTGGGATCTGATTTGGCTGACTCGCCTGTGTCTAGTAGATAACTGGGTTAGGCATGGGCCATCTGTCAGGTGTTTTGAAGACTGTCAAGAAGAGCAGTTTGGGAGATGCTTTGCACATTGAACATTTTGCACCATGATAAACTTGGCTCTAAGCCTGAGAAATTCAAAATAAATGGAACGCTTTAAATTTTGAGAGATTATCAGATCAAAGGAGAAGGACTTAGGATAGTTAATGCATCAAAATGATCTGATAGCTGTCACTCAATTTCAAAGCTCAACCATACACAGCCACCTCCCCCAAACACACACCCCCCACACGCATACTCTACTTTCTTACATAATAAAGAAACACAGAACCAACCTTTTTTTCTAATATATAAAGATGTGCTGACTAAATTCTACCCAGATTCTGGGAGATTCAGTAAGAGTACCATTTTCTAAATAAGACTGGCGGAGTAGGATGGTGACTAAGGGAAATTAAAGAATTTGGAACAAGGACCAGACAGCATCATATACATACTACTGATAATAGTAAATTCCACTCCTGACTCAAATATGTCTGAGAGCGTGAGGGGTGCAGAGGACATCATGAGACAAATGCTTGGGGACAGTTGCCAAAATCATTGCTGCTGCTGACATTGGGGCCAAGGGGGTGTGGTGCAGGGCAGAAGTTCCTGAAATAAAGTTTGTCTTTCCATGATCTTCCCTCCCTCGTAGATCAGGTCCTCTGTCAGAACAGTCGAGGAAAATCTTGAGAACTGGAAAGTGTCCTACCCTGCTCACAAACACAGCCCTCCCCCATCATCCTGAACAACTGGGTATTACTGGAGGGGAAATGACCATATGCCTCAGGACTTTCTATCATCCCCAGCCGTACACACCCTTAAGAGCCGATTTTGTTGAAATCAGAAAGAATACAACAATGAAACCTAAGGAAGGTCAATAGAGGCCTTTAAGGAATAAAGAAGTTGCCCTTACACTCTGGGTTTCCTCATTCTTCTCTCACAAGAGGATGTTGAAAATCAGACTTTGGACTTTTCCTCATTCTCTATTGTACAGAAACCTCAATTTGTAAGCCAACCTATTTTTGACACATTCAGTGCATTCATTTTAGTGTACTGCATTTACATACTGTTGAATCTCTCTTGGATTCCATAAGAGTATCATTTACTAAGTAAGACTGGCAAAGTAGGCTGGTGAGTAAGGGATTCGACAGGCATTCTGGAAGTTTCTGTCTGATCCTGTGGCTTGAGTAACATTTTTTCTATTCATTGAGTGTGCTAAAGGAATCGTTCTTGTGTTTCAGTCTTTAAGTTGGATTAAGCACTTTTCTTGTTTTTATCTGAATTCTGCCCTGCTTTGCTTTTATATTCTTACCAGTCTTGCCCACGAGTATTAACAAAACTTAAAGAAAAAAAGAAAATTACTTAGTACAAGGGAAAAAAAATATAACACTTTAAAAGACAGTACAGCTTTTTGATACTGAGCTAGGAGCACAGAGCTGAGCTCATACAGCTCTACCATTTAATCCGAAGCTCTCTTGGGAAAGGGCAGTGATCTAGAAGAAAGTCATTCAAAAGAATACATTTGCATACATCTTCTGCAAATACAAATCCTGGAGTTCTTCTGAAGCTGTTTCTCTTTTGTAACCATTATATGTCCAAGATAATGTACTATCTTGTGATGATGCACTTTTGTAAATCAGTTATATACATTGTTGGGACATATTTATGAAAGTTTTTTTTTTCCTGTTAAATGTTATTTTGTAAGTTTGCTTTATACTTAAATGTTATATATTTCAATGTTATATATTTTAGAGTCTCACATTTTTATATAATAAAAAAGTTTAAGTTATCACATAATATGAATCAACTTATAAACTTCTGGTTTCTACTCAGCCTCATCTGTAATGGAAAACACTGCAGTGAGTTGAACTCTTTTCCCCGAAACACTGCCAGAAAGGGAACAAGTTCTACTGTTAAAATACTCACACCCACACAATCATATACTCCAGTGAATTCTCTGAAGAGAACCTTTTGGTTCTTATTCTGAGCTTGTGTTCAGGGAGCACTCGTCATGCCCTCATTGTATGGGACATGGGTTATTGTCATTGAGCCGAGGGTGGTATTATTTCCTGCTAGGAGTGATCTTTCTGTCAAATGCATATACAATGGCCAAATTCCACCTCCTTGGAAAAATCTGGGGCAGCCTGGGACAACAAAATGTGATGAAGAAAGGTGGCACTGCCATTGACAAGAGGACTATCTGGGGGCTGGTCCATCACCACTCAGAACCTCAGTTTCCTCTTATATAAAATAAAAGCATTGAACCAAATGGACACAAAGATCCCTTCCCATTTCCCAATAACTTATCCTAGAAACAGAATTCTCCAGCTTCTCAGAATGTCATATCCTGTGCCCAGAAGCATGCTAATTATTGGCAGCCAAATTCTTCCTGGTTTATCCAAACTCTAACAGTATTACAAAACATGAAAACTGCTTACTGCTTTAGAGTTTCTCAGGCACCAGGCAAATGAAAAACAATGCTTATAGAGCAATGTGATAACGATGGCCATTTTTGCTTTCATCTATTTGTTGCTTCTGCAATCATTAATTATCTTTTTGCATATAAAGCATTAAAAGCATTAACTCTTTGTACTTTCATCATTTTTATTACTGCATAGGACTTATTTGCTTTAGATCTGGAACTCTATAGGTACAGTGGCGTAAACATGACTGGGTTTCGGCTGCTAAATATTGACAACCCCTATGTGTCATCCATCATTGAGAAGTGGTCCATGGAGAGACTGCAGGCCCCACCTAGGCCTGAGACTGGCCTTTTGGATGGCATGATGACAGTAAGTACTTAAGAAATATATATTTGAGAAAAATGTTTGAATTCCTTAGGGATTAGATTAAGAATCTTATATACCTTCTATAGTGTGAGAAAAAGTATCACAACCTGTGCCTTAACTCATATATGAGAGAGGAAGAAGTAAGCTTTTTAGGTATTTTGAAAGCCTGTGTGCATGGCTATTTCCAGCTTTCTGACTGTACCTGTCTCAGATAAAAACATTTAAAAGAGTAGCCACCACTCTCGACAAAATGTAGGCAAAGCAGACACAGAGCAAGGGCAAGTGGAGAGTTTTACCTGTGGGAATGTAGCCTTGAGAAGGCAGGAGGGTAAGAGGAGGAGCAAGCTGCCTGTAAAAGTTATGCAGAACCATTTGCCTTCCCCACTCTGCCACATCTCAGCAAGAGTAAGCATACAGGGGGAAAATGCCAGATTTACATAGAGTTGCTGCATACACGTTCTTCCTGTCCTGAATATGTAGAGGCACACCTTTGCAGATATTGACAGTGCTTCACATCAGCCATATGTCGCTCTTGGAGCAGATGCCAAGCCCGCCTCCTGACAAGGGAGAGATTCTCTCCTGAACGGATAAATTGCAAACTGCCCCATCAAGAGCTTCTCACTAACATCATTTGTCTTTTGTTGTCAAATGCACCCTCGGTGAATTTCTCTAATGAAACACCCTGTGTGATAAAGAAAATAGCAGGAAATTTTTTGTAAAAGCTTTCTATGTAGGAGCAGTGTCATCTAAAGAAAAAGATATTTGGAATGCAGGTTGGTAATAGTGTTTTAAATTGGCATAGTATTTCATTCTGTTCCCATCGCTCTTGCTTTTAAGACGTAATTTACCAATAACCGAAAGGTATCATCTCAGAGAAATGAACTTGGGATTTTTTTCTTCTTTTTCTACTTTTTTAATGAGAAGTAAATTAAAAGAAGAAATAAATGAATAAATTAATTGATTCTGGTTGATCTCATGGTCAAGGTCCCTTAATATTTTTCAAACTTAAAATAACTCTTCAAATATAAAAAGTGATCTGTGAGATAATAATGAAAATCGTTTTGCTACAAATGATCCTTGGGGTGATTTGAAAATGTTTTTGAATAAGAACAAGTAGAGAATATCCAGGGAAATCCTAGACTTCTGACACCGAAAGAGAGGGAGGAATTGGAGGGAGGGGGAGAAAGAGAAAGACAGACAGACAGAGAGAGAGAGAGAGAGAGAGAGAGAGAGAGAGAGAGAGAGAGGAATTGGAGGGAGGGGGAGAAAGAGAAAGACAGACAGACAGAGAGAGAGAGAGAGAGAGAGAGAGAGAGAGAGAGAGAGAGAGAGAGAAAATATGTTGGTTTTTTTCTCTTCTTGGTTGTTGGTTTTCTCTTCTCATGGATTTGTAATACAATGAGTTCAAGTATGTTTCAAAATCCTCTGCCCACCCTCCAACTACCTGTAAGATTTCTATCACAGAATAAGACCTAAAATTATTTTTACCTGCACTTAGTATAGAGCACTAAAAGAATTAGTTTGGAGCTATGTTAATGCAGATGTTGATTTATGCCAAAAATTAAATATTCATCACAAGCATGGCTTAATTTACTAAAATAAAATATATGTCGTGTTCAATTATACTGAACTGACAGAACAGTTTGTATATATTGACTGAAATGAGGAAAACCACTGAACGAGAGAGATTGAGCTGTACAATTCACACTGGAATCAGGTTGGGCATGAGATGCTACTGCTCCCCCAAGACTTCTGACAGTGTCCTGGACGAATGGCAGTCCTGTAGGCAGGAAGCATGGCAGAGCCAAGTTGCAGTGGATGAAAGAGATTCCATTCTATCTAGAGTTTATTACTCTCATCTTACCTAAAAAGAGTTTTCTTAGGCTCTTTTATTATTGTTTTCATTATTGTTATGAACTAGAAAAAGGGAAATGGGGATTTATCAAACAGAAGAAGGTGACTCATCAGAGTTCTATAAAAATGGGTATAGTAGTTATGTCAAGTCATGTCAATACTAGTCCAAAAAAGTGGTAGAATGTGGCATCCACTAGACTTTGGATCCCGTAATCTATTAGATATAGCTTAGAAAATGATTCTGTGAAGCATAATATTGACCTCTTTTTTATCCAAAGAAGCCATTTTTGCAGTTCAGTTTTTCCTTTCTGCTCCTAGTAGAGGTGATTAATTTAGGGATGTATAAAGGGCAATTGTAAGGGCATCCAATGGACTAATTGCTCAGTCACGAGAGCATATCCCAATATTCCACTCCTAAACAGCAGAATGAACATTCTTTTCAAGTGCACAAAAAATATTTTTCAGGATAGATCACATGTTAGACTGCAAAACATTTCTCAGTAAACTTAAGAAAACTGAAATCATATCAAGTATTTTCTCTGATCATAACAGTATGAAACCAGAAGTCAATTACAAGAAGAAAACTGGGAAAAAAAACCACAAACAAGTGGAAGCAAAACACCAGGCTATTAAACAATCAATGGCTTATTAAAGAAATCAAGGGGAAAAATTTTTTCTAAAAATTTCTTGAGACTAATGAAAACAGAAACACAGTGACTCAGAATCTATGGGACACAGCAAAAGCAGTTCTAACAGGGAAATTCATAGTGATATAGGCCTATTTCAAGAAATAAAAAAAATGTTAAATATACATGCTAACCTTATAACTAAAGGAACTGAAAAAAGAACAAACAAAGCCCAAAGTGAGCTGAAGGAAGAAAATAATAAAGATCAGAGCAGAAATAAATGAAATAAAAATAAACAAACAAAAAATAATAGAAAGATCAATGAAACTAAGAACTGGTTCTTGGAAAAGATAAAATTGATAACCTTCAGCCAGACTCAACAAGAACAAAAGAGAGAAGACCCAAATAAATAAAATCAGAAATGGCAGAGGAGAGGTGACAAGTGCCAGAGAAATACAAAGGATTATAAGAAAATACTGTGAACACTTATATGCCAACAAACTGGATAACCTAGAAGAAATGGTTAAATTCCTAAAAACATACAGTCTTCAAGACTGCATTGGGAAAAAAATGGAAAATCTCTAAGACAGACTGATTTATAGTAACAAAATTGAATCAGTAATCAAAAAACTCCCAACAAACAAAAGTCCAGGAGCAGATGGCTTTACAGGTAAATTCTACCAAACATTCAAAGAAGAATTAAACTATTCCAAAAAATTGAAAAGGAAGGAATGCGTCCAAGCTCATTCTATAAGGCCACTATTATTACTCTGATACCAAAACCAGGCAAAGACACTATTAAAAAAAAATTATAGGCCAATTTCCTGTTGAACATAGATGTAAAAAGTGCTATACAAAATATTATCAAACCAAATTCAGCAATACATTAAATAGACTATACTCCATGATCGGGTGAGATTTATTCCAGGGATACAAGGATGGTGCAGTATCTGTAAGTCAATTCAACATGATAGACCACATAAACAAAATGAAAAATAAAAATTACATGATCATCTCAATAGATGAAGAAAAAACATTTGGTGAATTTCAACATCCATTTATGATAAAAACTCCCAACTAAAAGGGTATAAAGGGAAAATACCTCAACATGATAAAGGCTATAATGACAAACCCACAGCTAACATCATAATCGACAGTGAAAGGCTAAATTCTTTTTCACTAAGAATAAGACAAGGATGTCTACTCTCACTGCTCTTATTTAACATAATATTGGAAGTCCTAGCCACAGCAGACAAGAAAAAGAATACAAGGTATCCAAATTAGAATTGGAAGAAGTAAAACTGTCATTATTTGCAGATGACATAGTACTATATCTATAAAACCCTAAAGATTCCATTAAAAAGCTACTAGAATAAATAAATTCAATAAAGATGTAGGATACAAAATTAATATTCAGAAATTTATTATATTTCTATAAATAATAACAAACTATTAAAAAGAGAAATGAGGAAAACAATTCCATTTACAATCGCATAAAAGGAATAAAATATCTAGGAATAAATTTAACCAAGGAGGTAAAAGACTGATACTCTGAAAACTATATGACTTTGATTAAAAAAAAAAAAAAAAGTTGACACAAATAACTGGAAGAATATACCATGCTCATGGATAGGAAGAAATAATGTCATTAAAAAGTCCATACTACCCAAAGCAATCTACAGATTCAACGTAATCCCTTCCTAAATTTATTTGGAACTACAGAAGATACTGAATAGCCACAGAGATCTTGAGAAAGAATAACGAAGTTGGAAGTATTATGCTACTTGATTTCAAACTACACTACTAGGATACAATAATCAAAATAGTATGGTACTGGCATAAAAATAAACACATAGATCAATGGAATGGAATAAAGCATCCAGAAATAAACCCTTGCTATATGGTCAATTAATCTATGACCAAGGAGGTAAGAATATATCATGAGGGAGAGACAGTCTCTTCAATAAATGGTGTTGGGAAAGCTGGACAGTTACCTGCAAAAAACGAAACTAGAGCACCGTCTTACACCATATACAAAAATAAACTCAAAATGGATTAAAGACTTAAATGTAAAACCAGAAACCATAAAACTCCTTGAAGAAAATATAGGCAGTAAACACTTCGACATTACTCTTAGCCATATATATATATGTATATATAGTGCATTTGCCTCCTTGGGTGAAAGCAACAAAAGCAAAAATAAACCAAAACAACAACAACAAAAATAGGACTTCATCAAACTACAAATATTTTGCACAGCAAAGGAATCCATCAACCAAAAAAAGCAGCCTACTGAATGGGAGAAGATATTTGCTAATAATATATTCAAAATATATTTGAAAACTCATACAACTCAACAGTAAAAGAAATAAACATCCAATTAAAAAATGGGCAGAGGACCTGAACAAACATTTCTCCAAAGAAGACATGCAGATGGCCAATAGACACATGAAAAAAATGCTCGAAATCACTAATTATCAGAGGAATGAAAATCAAAACCACAAGAGATATTACCTCACACCT